TTAATAAAATATATATTAAACTATAATTTTTATATAATAATAATATTAATAAAATTAATATTTAATATTTTATTAAGTAATTAACACTTTTTTTTTAACTTCACAGGCAAATTTGCCTGCTTTACAGTCTCAGGGATAATATTGATCTTATTTTCGTAATATTTTCTTTTTATATTTTAATTTATATTATTTGTAATTTATTTTTAAATTGTTTTAAATAAAAACATAATTTGTATATAAATAAATTTAAATATATTAAACTTAGTAAATTTACAAAATATTATATAATTGAAAGTTATAAATTACATTTTATCGAAAAATATAAAATTTTATAAACAAATTACTGGCATAAATTTTTGTAAACTTTTAAAATTTTAGTATTTTTGTAAGTTTTACATAATATTATATCATAATATTATAAAGTACTATATTGTAAACTTTTGCATAGTTATATACCCATAATTCATTCATAGTATTACATTATAATGTTATAAAATATTACGAAAATTCAAATTTTGTAATCTTATGATGAGCTTGTAAATTTTCATAATATTATAGAATGTAAGTTTACGTAATATTATGTCCTATTAAATTTACTGATATTAAGTTAGCATATGTGAGTTTTGCAGTAGAAAGTAAAAAAACTCTAAAAAAAATTTTTTTTAAGATAATTTTAAATCTGAATTTATTAACTAAAAAAATCATATTTACTTATAAAGTAAAATTTTAATTTTTTTAGAATTTTTTCCTTTTCTACTGTAAAGCTTACATTTGCTAATAAGGAGTTTAATTACGTTTAAATTATAAAAGAAAATAAACATGAATTAATTAAATTAAAAGGTCAAATCATCTTTATTGATATAGATTTAAAGAAGAAAGAATTATAAACAAGTAAAGATAAGCTTTAAAAATAAATTTTATTATTTATTAGAAGTTTGTAATGAATCTGCTATTTATCAAGTTAAAGATACATGATATTTATATAAAGTACATCAATATAAAATAGATATTTAATAAAGTATAGAAATTAAATATATATAAGGAATTAAAGATATTAAAGAAATGTAAGAAATTATAGATTACTAAGAAATTATGGAAATTATAGAAATTATAAAAAGTTAAGATTTGTGACTATTAGGATCACTATTCGTCAACTATATTTAATGCAGTATCATGCATTATAACAAGACTATCACTAAAAATGTATACTTGTTGAACCATTATCTTCTTTTAAACATGCCTTTAATTTTAAAAACTCAAACTTCAAAACTGTAAAATTACAAAGTTATTTAAACTTTAGTTGATAAAAATTTGTTTGTAACTATTTGTAATAGTAATATAGGAAATTTCAGATCATTTAATGATTAAAAATATAATTAAAATTTTTTTTTCAGGAAATGGGTACAGCAACTACTCGAATGCAAGCATATTTACTGAGATACTCTTATATTATAAGCAACATGCCAAGTGCTGTTACCACTATACTAATTCAGCATTATTTTTAATATACAAAATAATTTAAATAATATAAACTAAATGCATGAAACATGTGGCTCATGCAATTATTTAAATAAAAATTAAGCTAAAAATAAATTATTTATTTCATAACGATTTCTTGATAATATATCTGTAAAAAAAAATCTTTATTATGTATCGAATAATGTAAATTTAATTATATTAGTAAACTAATTTCATTACCACATTCAGTTATAAAACTGAAACTTAGAAAAATTATAGAAATGCTAATATTGCTTTCAATATTTTATGAAAAAGTAGCGACTCAGAAGTCTGTTCTGAACCGAACGACGGTTCCATTTTTGAGTCGGACCGAGGAGTTCGAACGGAATGACCGACTTAAGGGGTTTAAATTGATATATTACAATTTAACATTATCCGAATTTTATATTGGAAGATGAAGATATTTATTATTTATATACTACTTGTCAAGTATTTAAACACATTAAATTCCCTGAAACAGTTACATTACGAATGAAGTCTCAGAACTACTTTCAGTTGTTTATAAAGGTAGGATTAATTTTATTTCTTTGGTCAGAGAAATTTTGGTTAGAAAATATTATTTTATCCTTTCAGATTCATATTTATATATAACATTCCAGGTAATAATAATTCAATCCGTACACCTAGCTACCGGGAATTTAATTTAATATTTCACCGATTCTTTACCTTCTTGTTTTAAATAAAAATAATTGACAAATTTTGAAAATACCTATGTATAAAAACAAATAATCATTTCTTTTATTAAATAAATAAGTTCTAATATAGTCATACATGTCTTTTTCGAATGGAAAATCGAGAAAGATAAATACCACCGCACATAATTGTTGAAAAGGTCAAAAGTCTCATGCCATAAAGAAAAAATAGGTGAGATGCCAACAATATAAATATATTGTGCTTTAATTTTTCACAATAAATGAAGGACAAATCAAGTCGAAAGTTGTAGAGGAGATTTTCGTTGATTCAATAGTTGTGGTATAAAAGTCTATTGATTTATACACAAGTGTGGTAGAGAAATGATTTGATTTTGCCATTTTTTTAAAGAAAATGAAAGTCTCTTAAACATGTGTTATTATTATCATAAATATTTCATGCAGATTACTTCTATTAATACCTGGTCAACATAATTGGTGAAAGTCATTTTATTTATCAGTATTTACTACATTTTTAAGAAATATATATATAGATGAACGAATTAACATGATTTGATTGTCGCTGAAACGATCTGAGAAGAATCCAAGAAAAATGTTTAAATGTGACGGTCACAATAAATCGTTATTAAATAACTCTACTCTAATTATTTAAAATTAGCTAAACGAAACTTCGTTCTATTTACAAATAATTCAAGAAATGTAATCAAATGACAAATGACAGTGACATGTCATTTAATTATTCAATAAAAATAACCCATGTTATTTGTTAAAAGTAATGTTGCAAAGCTAAAGTTTTGATCTGCATAAAGTTTATTTTTCTCAATATTAGTCAGTCAATTAAAATAAAAGTTAAATGCAAATAACAAATGATTAAATGGTCAAATAATTAGATCATTACCAATACAGGTTCCAAATTATGATACTTGCGTTATTTTAAATTCTTTATTTCTTGCCTTATTATCTGAGTCATTTCATTTTTCAAATGTTGAATAATTTCACTATCAACGTTTCGAATTGCCCCTTGTCCATGATTATACACTTCATTATCTGGAAGTCTAATCCCATTATCAATAACTTCATTATTTGATTCATTATCAAGTCGTATCTCATTATTAACAACGTCTTTATTTTTCCCATTATCATCGGATTTATTATTTGTAATTGCAAGACTTTCTGTATCCCTTTTTCCTTGTTTGTTTTTGTTCCATTTGTATAAAATGAAAATTCCAGCAGTTAATAAACTACCACCAAGACTAGATCCAATAATTACTCCCACCATAACCGGTGCAGGTTGTGCTGACGATTCAGGTGTAGTAGACACTGGAGCGTATTGTGGAGCTTTAGGTGAAACTTCGGGTGGCGCAACAAAATTGCCAATGATAATAGTACCGAATATACCACCAGTGCAATGTTGACCAACACCGCAGAAATACCAAATCTCGCCCCTTTCTGTATTAATCTCACGAGTCCATTCTTTACCAATTTCGTATGCTTCATCAATGGAATAAGGGGATGGTATAGCTTTACAAGATCTCTTTGCTACAGTTTCGAGGACGCTGTGTTTACCACTAATCCAAACGAAATTAGGAAAGGAAATTTTAGTGAACGAACAAATGATTTTGACAAACAGTTTATAACAAAAGGAGGCATAAATTATTGTTATACATACGGTATCATCTATGGCGGTTTTTACGGTGTCGGGTGAGAATAAGTTTTTTCCTTCTGTGTAACCAACTTTAATTGCATGTTCTTCAGCATTGGTAAAGAAAACGAGCCGTAGATAATTAAAAATACGGAAGAAACTTTTTTCATTATTTATTTTTCTCAAAAGTAAGGAAAAAGAAAATTTCATTTTTTTTAAAAAAAATTTATTTTAAGACAAAATAACATAATGTAGTATCACGTAGAACCATCGATCACCGGATCAGGGACGATGATCTCTGGCGGCAAAAATTTTCAAAATCTGCTCTGCTTTCTGCGGCTTATCATTTCTGCTGATATTTTATGTATATTAATTATAATTCTGCTCATTTCGGCGATAAAAAAAAAATAAATTTTATTGATAAAGAAAAATTCAATCACCATTAAAATACATCATATTTAATTGTTTCAAAGAAT